AATATGAAACTGATTGTGGACATTTATTGTGATGGATAAGATATTGTACTAAACTTTGTGTGTTTTATACAACAAGTGCACACTACCAGCCAGCTGGTGTCAGCACTAGTGCTTTTTGGAGATACACTGACCTATGATGATAAAGTGATCTGGTATATCTCAAAATACTGTAAATTGAGCCTGTTAGTATAATGAGGCAGGTTTGCCTCCCAGTCTGGGGGTGTGGTCTTGCTATGTTTGGCCAACTACCCCAGTACCTGGCCCCTCTTAACATTAGTTGGCCACCAGTTGACAATCACTTTTAACCATAAAACTTAATTTGTAAGATCTCTTGTATCTGGTCTTGTGTTATTAAATTATGGTGTAATAGACTCCCATTACTGTACAGTACTGTAGTGGGAAGGTCGATATTAGTGTGTAAATTATGTAGAATAAGACAGTACGTCAAACGTACTTCTGAATGTGATATTATTGTGTGATTTGTTCCATTGATCTGAGATTGTGATACTTTTCTTAAGGAACCATTGGTTATTCGTGAAGACAATTTTTGTACTGTTGCAATTAAAAGGCTAAGGAAAATATTGCTTTTCTTTTTTCAGGATTTTCCAAACCAAGAAACAATAATAATAATGTATGATGAAATTATTTACAACCATATATTATGATTAAAATTTTTCTGGAAACTGAATGAAGAGCATATATGTGAGAGTAACTTGTAGAGGAACACAGACATTGGTGGAGATGATGGTGCAAAAGTACCACATGGAGAAACAGTATAGCACTGTATAGCTCAGGGTGTAGAAATTGTAGTAGAATATAGCATGATGATGATGATACATTATCACTACTTATATACTGTATATAATGCCCAAATACTGTAAGATGTAGTCAGGAGTTGTTGCTCATAGCAATACTGTACAGTATTTATACAAACATAGAGGACCAGTAGTTATGTGGCTGGAGAGTATCAAGAGTGTTCAGCAAGGTTAGCTTCCACATACTGTACTGTACTTGTCTGCACTTTGACAACAAGCTTGAAGATATAATACACACACATCCATTCAAGAATGTATGCATGTCTAAATAGTTAACACTGAACATATACAGGTTGAGGATACTTTACTTGAAAACCTTTGGTCTGTTGTATTTCGGATTTCATATATTTTTTTTTGTTTTGGGATGCTTACGCCTACTTATTTCAATAGTCTAAGCCTAGGCTAATCTATAAAGGCCCAGAACCAGACCTGATCAATGCACTGTACTGTTTCTACTTACACCACTGCTTCTTGCCTCTTGTATTTAAGATTTTTTTTACAGAAAACATGATTTTGCTGAGGTATTGTTCGTTTTTTTTTTTTAGTTTTTGTAATGTTTGGTTTGATCATCTGTTGTAGTACTGTACTGTAGATAAAAAACTGAGTAAATTACAAGAACAAAGATATTCTCTCTCTCATTCACTAACACAACTTCTCACTAACACAACTTGTCTTTATATACTTTAGGAAATTTTTACAGTAAAAAGGATTTTGCTTGGGTCATTCTTATTATTGTATTGTAGCTAAAAATTAGCAGTGATTTGTGAGAACACACAAGTTTGTGGGTTACAGGTTAACGTGTGTGAGAGCAGCAGCTGACCGGCCCAATCAGCTGCCCCGTAGACACGACCTGCAGTTTTTCTTACAATTTATCATTTCTATTGCTTACCTGCTTCCTAGCCATTCGAGTGGTTGGTTTGTTCTTCATTACTTTGTTATGACCTTCAGTGCCCATTGTTAGTACAGGAGGAAACTGGAATACCTAGACAAAACCTACAACATTTGGTAGGGTTACACTGGCTAACACCCTTCTCATGTCCAATCTGCCTCAGGGATTGAACCTGGGTCATGGTGGTGAGAGATACACTTTACTGCTGTGCCACCAACATCCCTAACTTATTGCAGCTGTTAAGTGTATCATTGCAGTGTTTGTCATTAGTGTGGGTTTAATATAGAGAGAGTTTGGTTGGGGCCCATTATATGATCGCACAACACGACAACGGTGAAAATCTACGTTTTTCTCACAACTGGATTTTGCATGTTGAACCTGTACAGTACTCATACATACAGCTTTCCACAACCTTAAATTACACACACACACATATATTTATTATCCTTTCATCCATGATACTCATAATTATATATGTACCTTCATAATTACAGTCAGGTCCATTCATAAAAACTTTTGGTGTTGGGATATTTGGGTTTTCAGAATTTTAGGTAGAGGATCCACGACTTGTTCTTGTGTGATTGTACATAGAGGATAACAGTACTGTATATCCATACACACTGTTAAAAGATAGATTATTCCTGTAGAATTATTGTTATAGTTGTGTTCCCTGAGATGACTTGTGACAAACTAGGATGCCCACACTGATATGTAACTAAGATAGGATTGTACTGCACTGTTGAGATAGACAGAGAACAAGAAGATTTATGAGAACAAACGTGTAATGGGCCAGGTATTGTATTGTACAGTATTTACTTAATTTGTGGAAAGTTTAAAAAAAATTAAGGACAGAATATTAAAGGATAGGGGGACCAAAAGCCATCATAATAACTTATTAATATATAATTGTTGTATAATTCCTGAGGTGTTAGTGAGGAAAACTCTTAACCTAACCATTTCCTCATAACTGTTCTCCCATTACATCAACTACTCTACTCTACTCTACTCTACTGTACTGTACTTGATCATTGAGGCCCGTTGCTAGACGTAAGGTTACATCCTTCTGGGTGCTTTATTTATAACTACAATGCTAACTCTCATACTATTACTTCACCTCGTTTCTTTTAATATATACATCTAAAGTCATATTTATTTTGTATGCAGGTATGACTCTCTCTCTCTCTCTCTCTCTCTCTGTATTTATTTATTTATTTAATTATTTGCAGTACTGTACTGTACTATATATAAAGTATTTGTTTAATTCACCTCAAAAAGTGGTCAATGGAAAGTAGTGAGTACCAGACCTCAGAGTAAGCCAGAGTTCCACCATACATAGAACTGGTTCTTCAATGAGCAGTCGAGTCCATCTGTATACTGTACCGGCAGGTTAATAATCATGTTTCCTCTTGTTTATTTTCTTATACATTGATGTGAGAGCTAGTTGGAGTAGCTCCAGAGATGAGTTAGGAGACAGTGAATAAGGGTCTGTTGGAAATAAGGTTTGAGAGAGGAATTTCATGTAATTTATGGATAATATGTCCACAGTGGCATGTATGAAAAAACATTAGAGTATTCTGCAAGATCTTTTGCCAAGTGGGAAATGGGTAAGGTGCTGTTCCAGCTTGCATTAGGGCTCTCTTGTTCAGTCTTGGCCATTCACATAATTACTGTAGTGGGGTATTCCTTGTCGTGTGGATAAAGTGATTCGAACGGGATGGATGTTGAACTGAGAATAATTATCATGAATTGTTTTTCTGGGAGTGAATCAGATGGTGCTTCTGTTTGTAATGTTAGGTAATCATCAACTGTCCATCCTTGCTTCACCAGTAAGGTTCTGTAGGTATGGATGTTTCTCCTTGGACTGTAACACATCACAAAGAGATTGATGTATTCCCTCCTTGTAAGAGGGAAGTACTGTTACTAACCAAATGGCCATGTGTTTCTTCCTACACATATTTGTTTGACCGTGAAATAGGATTTCAAGATCAGTCCTTCATTTTTATTACATTTGTTTCATCAAGTAATGAAATTTAGTGAGAAATATGATTTGTTTCTAAGGGTAGACTATTGTCATCATTGGTGCACAGTAAAGTAAGCTTAATCCTGTCAAGCGAGGATCTTTTCCTCATCGCAAGATAGAAAGAGGTGGAGCCAAATTTTGGCCTTTAATATTGATGTACTGTACAGACACTTTAAATTCCCCTTGTAAAACAGTCTTCATTATCCACTACTGTATCATCATAATTATTGTGTATACTTCTGTTCCTGTCATTGTTGATTAAAAGATTAAAATTCACACACACACACACACACACACACACACCTGTACAGATATGAAAATGGAGAATATTACTGTATTCCCCCCCCCCTCCCCAACTCAAAATGTGAAGACATGTGGCAACCAAATTCTATGAGTTGTATGAGTTTCTTTATAGATATACTGTACAGCACGATGTCTTGCACAAATATACTTGGAAATTATTAATATTAAAAATCAGAAAGATAAATAAAATTTTATGTTCACTGATATTAGACCTATGGGCATCCCATGTTATCTAAATAGTTTAGGTGCCTTGAAAATCATTGTGATATATCGAATTTTTGGATAGTGATTCTCATAACACAGTAAATGGGAACAATAGGGTTCAGTTCCCCTACAACAAGAAAACTCCAATATTATACAGTAACCCCAAAAAGTAAATTGGTTCACAAACGTAAGCAACACACTACAATATTACTGTACAGCATCTAACAATTTGCTCAATTACATGAAACACTACTGTGCATGACTTTATGTGAGCGCTGAGTAATGGCCTTACACTGTGCATGACCCTATGTGAGCACTGAGTAATGGCCTTACACTGTGCATGACCCTATGTGAGCACTGAGTAATGGCCTTACACTGTGCATGACCCTATGTGAGCACTGAGTAATGGCCTTACACTGTGCATGACCCTATGTGAGCACTGAGTAATGGCCTTACTCGGCACCGTACCATTTTTCGTATTGACAATTGTTGCTTTCGGATAGCAAGAAAAAGTTGTAGAAATAGACATTTTGGATAGTACATTACTTCTGTAGAGTGAACATTTGTACAGAATAGTATAGTACCTGTAATGTTTTCCCATACAGTACTTGGTGTTGACAGAGTATACAGTACTCATGAGTTGTGCATATTGAAGTTTGAAGAAGCGTAAGTTGATGTTCTGGGACGCAGTATTGATCTCTCTAACTACCTTACCTTTATTTAAAATTTTTGAGTGCGTATAATGTAATTGTTTTTCTCTATATTGCAGGTGGTCCAGAAGAGGTTGACCGTCCCTTTCTCTGTGGAGACGACTTACGACATGATATGCGGTATGACCCACATCCAGACCCACGGACAGACATGCGTCACGATCCACCTCTGGATCTCCGTGGGGACATGAGAGGAGACCAGCGATTAGACCCTCGGGCTGACATCCGGGTAGAGGTACAAGGAGGGGGGGAGAGGTTGGGGTCATCTCCACCGCTGCCTCCCAGCTCACTACCACACTCGTGTCAACTGTGTGGGAAGCTTATCTCGTGTCGCCGTAATCTGTGGAAGCACATGGAACGTGTCCACTTCAACAACCCCGCCGTCCGCTGCTCGCTTTGTGCTAAGATGTTCAAAAATAAATATGCCCTTAAGGACCACCAGCGCATCTACCATGGCGGTTTGAGCGAGCCACCACCACCTCCGCCACACTCTGCTTCCCTATTATCGCGCATCCTACAAGATCCTCGGCACCAGCCACCTCCTCAGCCCCACGACCCACGGGGACCACCCCCTTTAGAGCTGACCCAACCCACACTTCTGCCTCGCGATTCCCACCTTCGCCACCACATGGACTCATCTCACACCCAGGCTATTTCCCGTAGACACCACGAGGATGAGGAGGTTGGGGGTGGAGCTGCTTACCCAGGCATGGGTATGGGCCCCATGATACCACAGTCTCTGGCTCCAACCATAGTAGGAAGCCCGTCCTCACTCAGTGGTCCACGTCCTGAGTGGCCAACCCAGGACAACCCCATGGCACTGGTTAATAGAGCTCTGCTCTCAGAGTTGCACCAATTGGTAACTAAGGCCGACTAAGCATTAAGCTGGTGGTCGTGCTGCTTGCTAGTCTGCCCCACACCAGTCACCCCGGTGGTACTCGGCCCCATAACTCCCTCACCCAGGAGGGTGCACCTCGCCTGGCCGTCCTGTGCCCTGCCGCTGGTGCTGGTTGGTGTGAATCCATGCCCTTACAACGACCACACCCGCACCGCCCACTCTGGGAAACCTTTTGGATATTTATTATCCTTGGTATCCAGTGACATCAGCTGTTGTAGCCAGCCAATAACATCTTTATAGTGTGCCGAAGTGGGCCTAGGCGGCCAACGTATCTCACTCTCGATAGCTTTAACCTCCTTCGGAGTCCCGCTGTTACCAAACGGGAGCCGTGTCCCTGTCTGGTGCCTGTTCGACACGGCATGTAGTCGTTACCACGATAGTCTCTCCAGTTGTGTGTTCAGCTCGCACCCGCAGCTACCCTGTATGTAGGCAGCCTAGAAATATGGACGCACACGCTTCCCTAACTCACTGACTCAACAAGAGGTCCATAGTGACAGTCCCGAGGTTATGACGACATCTGCTGGTGGAGTTGGAGGCATTGAAATCTGCTTCGGATTTTTCATTCCAGCAGTCTGTAAACCTGTGATTGTGATCGTGATATGAGTGACTAATTAAGGTGTTTGGATAAAAATTTTAATATATTGGATTTATTTATCTCAAGCAAATACCCAAAATAGCATATATTGGCTGTGATAGAAATAATATGAATACTGTATTGTATGGATGTGATGGAAAATCCTGTTAATGAACTTACTTGAAGATTCTGAATCAGTAATCAATGTGTCCTACACATGACTGCCTGAGTCGCGCCTTGAACTCGGTGGTCCACGGAGGCGGCACAAAAGGCATCTCCTGCTTGCGTCCATTTAGAACTGGCACAACGCACCCCTGCTGGCCTGGTGTCTCAGTGTGTAAAAACATGGCTAGTCACTACCTGTGTTACATATTAGAGTGATAAATGACAGCAATGTCTTCTAATATGGTTTCAAGTAAAAAAGTATATAAGTCGGCCAGCTCATTAAATGATTCATTAATACATGCTTTCAGCTTATCTCACAATGTAAATATTTTTTATCAATATTTAATCAACAGGGTAAAGTATTGCTATCACAGATTTAAAAGATAATTTTCCAAGTTCTCTGTCATTGCTCTTGCTCTCCTCAGATGGTCAGGCATTTGTTTGCTTATGTGATTCAAGTTGCATGACATAAGTACACGCATAGCACTAACATGTTAATGCACCCGTTGTTGAATATACATCTTTCCTTGTTGTTCAGTCAGTATATCTAAACATGGCACTAATTGATGTTCTAGCTGTTATTTCAAACATCCATACAGGATTTATATACTTGCGTTGATGTTTTCTGGCTGCCCACAACACAATGTATACTAACTAGGTTGGGCTCTGGTCCGTCACATGGGACAACCTTGTCTTATGCCATAGCATGGGAGAACGGGCTTTGACGCACCACTTAGTTTGGGCCTTTTGCTACTGTACAGAGATTCGTGCCTTGTGCCACCATAGAGAGCTCCACCCTCTGTCACTGTAGGTTATACCACTGTTTAGAGATCTGACCAAAGAGCCAATGTATAGTGAGCTGTGCCTTGTGCTACTGTATTGTAAAAAGGTTTTGCACCTTGTGCCACTATTTAGAGAATGTACCCTGACCAACCAGACATTCAAGCCTTGTGCCAGTTCCATTGTATATTCATAAAGTACTGTTATCATGCTCAGGCATTAAGCTCCACATCATTATGTAGTTTGCTGCTGTGTCATGGAGCTAGCCTTAAAAGCATCATGGATAGGAACAAGGTTTATAATATCAATATAGTGTAGCCTGGACTAATGTTACCTGTTGATAGCATTGATTACAAGTGTGTCATAGAGAGGATTCAGGCATAGAGCTTTTATATAGAAAAGTGGAACTACGGTCCACTATGCAGGGGAGCCGTTGTCATAGTGCCGCATCCATGGACCAGTGGGAGGCAGCCACGTTTATACTCTCTACTTTCGTGAAGGCTGTGTCTCCGTTTCTGTGATGTATTGAAGTGTGCTGTTGTAACGGTTATGCAGAGCTCTTTATATTTTTGATACTGTAGAGTATTTTGCGCAAGGTTCCTAGGTATAAATGATAATTTACGCAAATTAGAATCTAAGTGCAATCATACCAAAACATATACATTAGATTATGAGCCACAAATGGATGTTAAGTCAAACAGAATGATAATCAAGAGCTTGTTAGTAGCTCATTTGATTCTTAAATAATTTATAAGACTCATTTATACTATTTAGTGTACTGCATATACCAGTACAGTACTTGAGGATTGCACTTAGATTCTTAGTGAAGATGCAAGTTGCCACGTCCAGAGCAATATGGTGGAGGAGGATGGATATTTTGTTGCCCGAACTGGTTTAAAAGTTAGGGTTACAACCAAACACTTTTTCATATATAGAAGAGTGTTAATACCCAAAATGCAGTTATAGACTAAGGCATTGGAAAGTTTCCTTAATGGCTGTGGAATGGATAATTATTATAGTAGTGAAGATGGGGGGTTGAAATTGGTGATATCCTCTATTTTACTGTTTATGATGGTCAATTGGTGATATTCTCTATTTTAATATTTATGGTTTGTGATACAGTAATTGAGCTTTAATACTGTGTATTTTTAAATGAAAATAATTGGGATAATCATCAGATTGTGTCTTAGAATAACTTGAGTTTGTTTAAATGTATATATTAATGATAAGGATGAGCACACGTGTATGGGAAAGGAGTTTGAAGATTTCGGTAGGACCAGGTCTTTCATATAAGGTGTCTTGTGAGTTTTATAATACTTATTGGAGGATGCCTGGTGAGCCCAGAGATATCCTAATGGGACTTGCCTCCACCACCACCCTCCCGGGCACGCTGGCTAGGCTGGGGAGCCTGGCTGGTACGAAAGACCCAAGGTTGTGTGCACTCATCGCTGTAGTCCGTGCCCAGCAATTCCAGGTCTCAACCTGCACTTTCACTTGACAGGTAGGAAGACGAGGTTACATCCTTGGTTTTGCGTTGTCTTAAACTGTCTCGGCAGCTTATCAAGTCTTTCACATTCTGTATGATAGAAGTTTATAAATTGTCTCTGACGTATTTTCCATAAAACTTTTTGTTAAACACACTTAGGTAAAAAAGGGTAAAACACCTTTATGTATATGGTATACTATATAACCATGACAATTTGTGATGTACAGTAAAGGACTGAATAAAGTTCTTGAAGTGAAAAACACATAAAAAGGACTTGATAAGTTGCTTGGATGCATCAAGATTTTGTGTTTGCCTTGTGAGTCAGAGTCTTGGACCTATCCATACTAATGCTTGTTAAAACATTGCGTAGATATTCTAATCATTGAAATAAATATTAACAGACACTTATAACTAAACTATAAGGGCATCAAATGCATTTTCTAAATACTATTCATAAATTGTTTTATAGGAACAATTACACATATACAACATATGACAAGTTCTGTGTTAATTGATCAGAGTCACATTCTACACGTGAATTAGATTATGATCCATTTTGTAGAAAATTATACAAAGTGGCTGTGGCTACTGTACTCCTTAACAACTCTAACTTTGGGAAATATTATGAATCCTGACTGAGGATGTTCTAACACAAGAAGAGTGATTAGTGTTGATTCTTGCTTAAACAAAAGCAGTGGGAGTCCAATCAGAGATATAAAACAGGGAAAAGTGCAAGTCCATATGTTTTAAGATGATGTGTCTTGGATCTCCTGATACACTGTAGTACTGAACAGGATCCTAGCAGCAGGGGTGAAAGCTTTGATCCGATGTAAGCCCTGGAATGTCTACGAACATGTCTTTCTCTGGAAAACCAGGGTGAAGGGCAAGTGTTTGTGTGTGCCTCCATATCCAGCATACTGTATTGCTTTCAATTGTCAGTGCTCGCTGCCATTTTTTACCCCAAAATGACAGCAGGGAGTTTCCCACTTGTGATGCAAGCTGCATTTTTCCTTGCTGTACTTCTCTGATCCAATTACTGTATGTGACTTTGATCAATTGTTTTGTCATTTGAGTTTTCATACATTCTACACAGACACACACACACACACACACATTTAAAGTAGCACCTCTCTAACTTGAACTAATTACTATACTACAGCACACAGATTGAGGTGCCATATGGCAGAACCCAAAGTATAGTACAGTGTAGAGATAATCCCCCTCCCCACCCCCCAAAATCTAAATCATAATACAGTACTTAGGTCCTGCAAACAGAAATATTACCTTCTTGTCATTTTAAGATATTTTTGATGGTTAACAAGAAAGCAGGTAGATGAACTAACATGACATAAGTAACCCAAAACCATGCGCTTTATATAGTTATTGGACGGTACCAGTGATGGACAGGTGGTGTCAAAGACATGTGAACTCAGTGTTTACTGAGTTACACCTCACTCCAACACTGTACGCACAATTGGTCATACAGATACAGTAAATAATTTACAATAAATTGCACTCATTCACTTCCAGTATCCTATAAAATACTGGACAGTACAGAATGCACTTGTATAATCCCTGCCATCTCAGATACTTGAATTAATATGGACATCACCTAAGGAGTGAGAGTGAGCATCTGTGCAGGAACCTATTGCCTCATTTTCTTTACATCTACATTTTCTATCCCCTTTATGAAGTGAATACTAATAGCAGAATATAATTATGTACCGTACTAATATAAATAAAATGAATTTGACATACGAATATAACATCTGAAATAAGATGCCAGGAGAAATGGACATCTTCAGGTATCATTGGGCGTGTGTGTGTGTCGAGGTGGAGTATGTGTATGTGGAGGGCAGTGGATGTGTATGTATAGGTAGGTCAAATGTGTGTGTGTATGTATGTGGAGGGTGTGACGTGTGTGTGTAGGTAGGTCGATGTGGTAGGTAGGTCACGGTGGTGTGTGTGTGTGTATGTGTGTATGTATAGGTAGGTCAAATGTGTGTGGTGTGTGTGTGTGAATGTATAGGTAGGAGTGTGTGTATGTGACGGTGTGTGTGTATAGGTAGGTCAAATGTGTGTGTGTATGTATGTGGAGGGTGGTGAGGTGTGTGTATAGGTAGGTCGTATGTATGTGTGTATAGGTAGGTCTGTGTGTGTGTGTGTGTATGTGTGTGTGTGAATGTGTGTGTATAGGTAGGTCAAATGTGTGTGTGTATGTATGTGTGTGTGTGTGTATAGGTAGGTCAAATGTGTGTGTGTGTGTGTGGAGGGCGGTGACGTGTGTGTGTATAGGTAGGTCAAATGTGTGTGTGTATGTGGAGGGCGGTGACGTGTGTGTGTATAGGTAGGTCAAATGTGTGTGTGTGTGGAGGGGGAAACTGGAAGGTAGAGTATGTGGGAGGGTTGGCTGTAGTGGGTGTGTGTGGTGGAGAAAGCTTTTGGCAGATATACCACACTTGGCTAGTCTCACATGACCAACTATTACTGTTTTTTATTTCTTATCATTGACTTGTTCTTAGTGCTGTTAAAGATATGTTCTGCTATAGTATTCCCATTCTACAACTTGGGCCAAAATCTGGTTTACCTGTTGCTTCACACAGGCCAGCATCACTCATCAGCAGCATGTCCTTACCAACACATCACTCAACACCTTGCTCTCCACTGATGTGTGTGGATGTATGTATGTTTTTATAATTTTTGATTGACACCCTGTAGTAATTTAAGATACCCCAGACCAAATGATGATGGTACAGTACTTCTTAAGTCACCTAAGAATCTTTTATCAGGTTACATCTATAGTTCTTCTGGAATTATTTACACAGTCATCTCCTAGTTCATGCATTATAAAGCACTGTTTTGTTCTGTTACTGACACTTTTTTAGGGGGGGGGGGGCGGAGGTTCATATTTGTTCATCAGCTGAAAATCTTAAGTTATCAAGGATGTATTCATCATCAAATTAAATTACTGTATGAACATTCATGTGTTGTGTGTACAGTAAAATGTACTGTACTATACACAGATACAAACATACACATATATCAATATTTCTAACAATAGTAATGATTTTTGAGTTAAGAAATATATTTAGTTTTAGTAGAGAAGTAACCTGTGGTGAGCAAGTGAAGAGGTACAGTACTTCCAACACCATCCATTCTTGCCTCTCGTATCTTTACAACACTTCACCAAAATTTCAGAAACAAAATTATATAAGTACATTATATGTGTCGGCTAATATTGATGGTAAATGTGCAATCTTATAATTTTTATGTTTTTAAGAAGCATTATCAAGACTGGTTCCAATGGAGGTGAAGAACCACCAAACACTGTAAGCCTTGTTCACACAAGTGTTTGTTTTTGATGTGAGATATTTGTCTTCAGCATGGCTGCTCACATATGGTCGCCATTGGGATAAGGCTGTGAACATGCATGAGAAATAATGTTATTTGAATATTTAAGAATGAAAGCCATCCTCTTGAGGCTTACAGTACACACAAACCACAAGTAGTATTCTGAAACCAACTTGGTGGATTATTGTGTTATTATAGTCCTGTGGGGAGGCACATACTAATTACTTGGAATACTGTACTATACTCTTCCAAAGGCTAATGTGCCATGATGTTGCAGCATGTCTACAATTAAAGTACTATACAGTGTGTGTCTCAGAGCACATACGGTATGTTCTGTGGATGTGTTCGTACATACATGTTGCCGTACAGTGTTCGGTGTGTGTGCAGTCGGTAGGTCAATATATGAAAATATATTCCTTTGGAGAAGTGATTATTTTTTTACTCTTACTGAAGAGGCATGTTAATGGCACATGTACGCATGATGTTTTTAGTTTGTGCGAGTGTTTACACGTGTTCCTGTGAAAGAGTTGATTGCCGTGTGGTGAGGTAAGTTATACCCCACAAAAGTTGACATGTGACCAGTGTGTCCTCCATGTTCCTCTGGAGGCGTATATGCATCTGTAATGCCATTGATATTTAAAAGGAGGTTATGTGCTCTTAATGGAGAACATGATGTCCTGTGAAAGTGTATAGACATGTGTCTGTTTTGGTATATGCGTCCAGTGTGATTGTGGCGATCAGTCGTTTTTGGGGTGTGTGAAACATTGGTCCCGGTGATGGATGGTGAGTGTAAGCCGAGCAGGAGCCACTTTTGACCACCACAGAAGATTGCTTTGCACTGTTCTGCTGTGGATCATTCTCGCACCCCAGACCAGCCGTTACCACACCCCAGTCTAGCCACAGTGCCCCACCTGCCCGCCCACAGTCTTCATGGTCTCTTACTTTAATGTTATATATAGTACGTCTCACATTCAAGCAAAGTTGTCATTACCCACCCACAAATTACTTAATTTGTCTAATGCAGTCTGGGATGGGAATGCATAGTGTGAGCCGTACTTGTGTCCTCTGGCTGGTGCCTGCTGCCGTTCACTGCCAGCCCCACCAGGTGCCAGCAGGTGTTTTTGATAATAGAGCTGTGACTAAAGACTGTTATATTTAAATGTGATTTAATTTGCAATGTGTCAAATGCACGATGTTGTTACATGTAGTCCAGATGTTTTACTTGAGGGTGTGGAGCGGTGGTATGGAGCGCCAGTGATCTAAAACAATTATAGTCTTATAGGCTCAGACTCTACACACACCTCAATGTGCACTACTGCCAAAGATAGTGAAGCATTGTAGTGATTTGTAATACTCTATTATAAGCTTTTTTTCGTCCATGTGTGATGGGTGTGCGAGGTGCTTCTGCCGGTCTTTGAGATTGTTACGCACGTCCATAGTATGTGTTTAAATAAGTAGCATCAGGCCGTAATCTAGATGGTCAGGCCCTGAGTGGAGCCAGGACGATGTTGTTACTATTTATATTGCCTCTTGGATCACTGCAGAAGCATCTCTGTAGACTATCATAAATCAGCTCTTGTTGTGTAACTGGATGATATTTGTTTGAGTATGTCTGTTGTATGTATGTGCACTCTGTGCACTTACTGCTCTCTTGTGTATTTGTGTTCCTGTTTGTTCCATGTTTGTTTTTGTTCCTGTTTGTTCCATGTTTGTACTAACCTCCGGGATACTCGTGCTGAACGCCAGTATCATGTTGCCGCAGCTTTAAATTACTTTATTAATGTTGATATTTACATTCTTGTTTGTAGTGAGATAGTCATCAAGATGTAGATTATACACGAATTAATTGTTATTATTTAGCTTAATATATTAGCAAATTACCATGCCAAAGTAGGTAAGTAAGCTTCTCAGAGATCTGCCGGCGTCATGGAGTGGAGTGAAGATTAGAAAAGTTGCAAGTTAAGCTCAGAAGTGACCTGATGACGTCAGAAATTACCTATTAACATGAAAATAACATTGTCATAAATATAACCTTTTAAAGTAGGGAAATGATCTATATATGTGTATATATATATATATATATTTAATAAGCAGTATCAAGCATATATAGTTCAGCTATTTCTATAAAT